AAATCGATTGCAACAGGCGCAGCAGATCAGGGGTTTTTTTTTTTTTTTTTAACCACACTAAATCGTTACTGTGTGTTATCCGAAATTTTCGCTTATCCGACGTTCTGCCGGCCCATTTATGTCGGATAAGCGAGACTCTACTGTACATCCATATGCTGATATTATATTGATGCTGATGGGGGGGGCATGGCAGGAATAAGACAGCTATACAATGTAATGTTCACATGCACTGCACATTAAAAACACTGATGTGACATCTCTCACAGGTGCTAGAAAAAGTTTCCTTCACAACAGAAAACAGAGTTTCACCTCTATTGACCATAATTTTAAATTGCCTGGGGAATTGGGAGGTTGGAATCAGACTCATGGGCTACCAGCTGCCTATCCTTAGCTAACACTACCAGCACTCCCCAAAAACACTGAAATGGCTAAGAGTTGGGCAGCCCCCATAGAGATACTTTTCTACAGGTGTCAAATAATGTTGCACGCACACACACTAACACAAGGAGAGCAAAGAACGGACGATGGAGATCTGGGGCCAAGATCCATTTGCGTAAAAAAGGCCTAATAAAACAATCAAGAAAAGTTGAGCAGCAACTGGGCAATTTCAATAATTCATCTTTTAAATTAAAATTGCGAGCACTGAGGAAAATGACAAGGCAATGCACTTTAGTGGTCTAGTTTCTAATGTCCTCAGCACTTATACAAGGGAAAACATACCTGATTCATTCTGTACCCACACCCCACCCCAGGAAACCATCAGGATCTCATCTTCAAATAGGGGAAAAAACCCTCTGTTTTTCCAGGAATAGCCAAGACGGGCACAGCTCTTGGCCAGAACTGGCCACTTTGCACTGGAGAAGCAAAATTACAAGTCTGCAGAAATTACCATTAGGCAAAGAAATAAGTTTATGGCAGCTTTGCAAGTCTGGGCTTGGGTTCTCTCTGTTATGTTTTGCCAACACACTTTCACTGTCAAGAAAAAAGAAAAAGAAAAACCTCCAGCAGAGTGTACCCAGAAGTTCTAAATTATGCAAAATAAAATTGGTTAGCATTTTCACTAAGTAGAGTGCTGGGGGCAGGGAGTATTTCCATTCTCTCCCTCTTTTTCTATCTGGATTCAACTACA